ATACTACTACATGTCGTCATTCTAATTGTCTTGATTAGTAAATGCAAATCGTTGGCTTCGTCAGGACTCTTGAATGAATATGACGACTGTAACAAATGTTTCGCCCGGTTTTGTCCCCTGCAACATTTTAATGCAGGCCACAAATCATCTAAACAGATGTGAATGTCATTTAAATGTATGATACGGATTGTCGCTTATGATTTTATGCCATACGTTAACATTGATATGCCCCATAGAGCAGTAAGGAAACCAAAATAGCTTAGCCACCTCTCAGCTTTTAAGGCCCTCGTTTTGAACCCTCGTAATAAATGGCATTGAAATTTCAGTTTGTTTGAAATGTATTTAAAGTATTTAAATGTAAATTGTTTATCCAGTGTTTTACATTTCATGATATTACTTCCGTATATGATACAACAAAGAAAGAAAACCTAACCTTGCATTTCGATTCATTCGGGGTAATTACAAAATAAGTGTAAAGATTGTTAATTTCGTAACTGGCAAATATTGCTGACGTAAGATGCACGTGTAATAGGAGTTATGGAGTTCTTCCAGTGAGATATTTATGGATGGAGTTTGGAGTTGAACAGATTTTTCATACCTGTTACAGCGTTTATAACTGAACGGATTCATCACCTTGGTAAGACGTAAGTATATGTATCAAGGGTATAACAGTAACATTTAATGAAACATTGTGATGTTTGAAGACGTATTCGTTATTTCCTTGTGGAATTTTTATCCAGAATGAGCCCATGAACTTGTCTGTAACTCTTACTGTGTGTTGGTTTATTTTTCCTTAAGTTTGTGCAGTACGTGAAGGTTAGGGACTCCGTCAGAACGCTGCTAATTTCGTCCTGCCAGGAGCTCACAGCCAGCTCCAGGTTTAACACTCATTCATGAACTTTTCCCAGATTTTCCAGCAGTCTTTGCAGCAAACCGTACATCAACTGTCTCGGTAGAGTAACGTCGCTACTCCATCACAGGCGGCCATGTTGTATGATTCACTACATCGCGTCGTGTTTTGGCGGCCATGTTGTATGATTCACTACATTGCGTTGTGTTTGACGTATCAGGTTTTGTTGTCGTTTCGGGATTTGAATCTGCTCAAGCCTTTTAGATGATTAATTGGCATTGTGCTGATCGTTAGACGTTCATATATGCAACGTTTGTACACACAGAATTTAGGGTTTGATTTTTTGCTGTTGTCATGAAAATCTAAAATAACAATTAAATTATCCGTGATATTGGAGTCGTTGATTGAAAGATGACGCACAAAATAAAGCTTTCATGAAAAATTTTGTGGAAGACGTCCATTTTTTTTTGAGCCAAATGAATTTAGTCCGCACCTTCATAACATTTATTAAAGATTTTCCCATGCGTGGTACACTTCCCCGACAATATAAATTTTTATCTAAGGGACCACGATGTTGTAATGGATATTCCGGAAAGAATTTTTCGCAGATGTGGTGTGCATTGGACTGATCTGTGGGTTGTGGCAACCTGAAAGTGCAATGTTTAGATAAACTGTAGCTAGCTACCAGCCCCGGAGCCTTGCAAGACTCTCAAACAGCCCACTCAGTAGCTGACGCCAGTTTGTATTGGCTCCCTAACTGCACAAGAAATGTTTGTTATCGACTATAAATTTTCTGTTTTTTTAACAGGATTCACGAGGCTACGAAATTTGCAATTATTAATATAGAATATATTACGTATTTCAAAACAAATCAATCCTAAAATAGAGGTGAGATTTCAGGTTCTTACGTTGGATTTTATGAAGACGACTGTCTTCTGGGGCGATGCGACATGTCGTCTGGTGGAAGTTTTCCGACGTTTCAGAGATACTTGCTGTCTCCATTATCCAGACGAAATTTTCTTGTTTTTTTTACGGGAATGAAGGTTTGGTCTTGTAGGTTATATGTGAATGTAAGTTTTGTACAGTTAGATAATTCCCCCACAAATTTGATTAAGTTCTATGCCAGTTTCTTGCAAGGGGAGGTCACAGAGAATCGATACGTAGCAGAATCAAATTCTTGCATGTTTGTGACATGGCTTCTGTGTCTCGCGAATCCTTAAACAGCTGCAGGATTAGGCAGTGTGTGAAGAAGAAAATACAGTTCTAGGCCAAAGTGGTGATGTAAGAATTTTACGTCATCCAAATTCTGCCGGCATTTCTCCAAATAACCTATTTGTTTTCAGCTGTAGTGGTGTTAGATTTTTTTTTTTTTTGAAACGTCTGTTGGCCAAGCGAGACTGAATTGTGCTGTTTTTAATTTAAACTATATCACATCCGCTTAGCAAACCAGTGCATCGTTCAACGCTGATAGACTTGCACAAGCCGTCTTGCTTAAATAATTTATTATTCATAAAATAGTGTAGTTGCGTCATATTGTAATTTATTGAATTAAGATTAAATTATTTGGTTATTCCGTCAAATCACAATGTATTTAAAATAAGATAATTAAAATAATTAAAATATCATTCTTTGTTCCATATCGAATAATCGATAATTCAATAAATCGAATAATCGATTATTCGATATGGAACAAAGATAATTAAAATATCATTCTTTGTTCCATATCGAATAATCGATAATTCAATAAATCGAATTATCGATTATTCGATTTGGAACAAAGAATGATATTTTAATTATTTTAATTATCTTATTTTAAATACATTGTGATTTGACGGAATAACCAAATAATTTAATCTTAATTTATTATTGCTGTTAGATAATTTTCTGAAGTTAAAGATAAGCCATAGTATTCTCGTTTGTTCTAGTGTCCTTTTTTTATTTTTACTTTCGTTCTTACGTAACTGAAATGTATTTTAAACATTTATAAATATAGTTATGTTTGGCTTGGGTGGACGCAGTTTCTCAAGCGCCGATAGCATCTTTTCATCACCTCTACACACGCTGTGCGATTGTGCAATTGGATTCCACTCCGTCATGTGTATAAATGTTTTTTTACAAATGTAGAATGGCTACGTTTATCCCATATTTTGTGTCATTCAACTTCAGAAACTGAATGCCAAAGATAGAGGCAGACCATTAGACTTATTAACTTGATTATTGTCTTGTGGGTTGTAACCTGCGTGGTCTTGTTGGAGATTCCAGACTTTTTCATTTTAAAGAAGATGACTGTCTTCTGGGTTGTTGCTTTTTTAATCGTCCTGGTGATGGAGACACCAAGGGCCTCTGAAATGTCAGTAATCTTCTATCAGACTACACAGCGTAACAATCCAGAAGACAGCCCATCTTCAGACTCATTTTAATATGACTCTTCAATTACCAATGCGTCTCTATTATATATTTCCCCCGAAATCACTGTTCAATGGCATTTAATGTGTCTTAGATTCATCCCTGAAGATAGAGGCAGTGTGTTTTTTCCCGAAACGTTGGTGTCTACACGGCGTTACGAGGTAGAAGACCAATATCGGCGGGCAAGTCGTTAGGTGTTTATTTATGAGATCCTGTCCCCGCTCAAGGAACATTGGTGTTTCCGAGCTGAATCACGTTCCCTCGCCGTCCGGATGAAAGCCGACGTAACTGTGATGACCCACTTCTGAGGTATTCTGCGGAATTGCCCAGCAAAATGGAGCCCCGACTAAAAATAACGTGCGCTGTTTTTGTATTACGCATTGCCTGCACTTAACTTTTCCGTCTGAATCTGTTTTGCTCCAAAGTTACGTTACGATAAGGCGTATGATTTACTAAACACTCTGTATAGGATGTTAACAAATGGCTGGTTAGGGGGTCAGTGATCCCGCAGAAATATAAAATAGGTCACAACACTCAACGATTTGTATTTTAAACGAAATTTTCTAAATTACTTGCCTAAAAATTTGTAATTCTCTTTGATTTTTCTTATAGGTACCGAATTTGTTTACATAAATAGATTTATCCATGAACTGGTGTAAGGTAAGAGGTTTAGTTTAAACATTTATACTTGCTTCGTGAAATTTCTGTCATCTTAAACCTGGTAATAAATTCCGCCAAATTTCTAATACTCGTAGTCTGAGTAGTGATCTCCAAGAGTTAATAGGCAAGCTAGGCAACACTCTTAATAGTACCAATGAAGAAACAGGATTGGCCTGATAAATTATTCATTACGCCAGCGTCTGAAATACATGAAATGATGACGCAAATATGTTTCTCTTGCCAAAATGTATGTGTGTTTGGAAATCCGAAAGTGTTGGATGTTCGCTCGTTTTAAAACGCGAATTTCACAATAACACGTTTGCCCATGTACGAGATGCAAATGCTTAGTTAATTATTTCTCAGCTGCTTAGAACTTAATTGGTGTGAAGCCGGTAACCTTGACAACCAGACAATGTTTTTTTCCCCCTAGTACAGTACGATGTTTTTGTCTTGTCTTTTGAGCTGACAATTTTTATTGTAGAACATCGTTTTGCTAGCAAATCATCTGTAATGTAGGTTTCCTAACCTGTCGGTGCCAAACAAAACAGAATCTAGTCGCCAAATCTTTACGTTCCGTGAGTCTGGCAGAGTGTTACATTGAAAGCGTAACCGTGGACGTACGTACGGTCCTTGGCGACTACGAGGCCCAGAGGTTAAATTTCCGGCAGTCTCCTTCCTAATCAAAGAAAACTTTCTCAACAGAAGAACTCAAGCGTTGTGACGTAGGATCTCGAATTAAAATGAACATTTTGCAGTACAGAACAATATACAGTTTTATCCCTGAAACGTTGGGTTTCCTCAGATCGTAATATATTAAATATGTTTTGAGAATAAGAAGGTTGTATTTGGGTAAGTGGAACAATATTATAAACATCGGTGGTAAACATTATTTTATACGGTAGTATATTTGCGTCATATTGTGAATTAGGTTAATATTTTAATATTTTCCGTCAAATCACAATTTTAATAAGATAATAAAATATAAAATATTTAAAATATCATTTCATGTTCCGCATCGAATGATCGATTTACAAATCGATCATTCGATCGATCATTTCACGTTCCGCATCGAATGATCGATTTACAAATCGATCATTCGATGCGGAACGTGAAATGATATTTTAAATATTTTATATTTTATTATCTTATTAAAATTGTGATTTGACGGAAAATATTAAAATATTATTTTATACATTAAATAAATAACCTTATACGGTCTAAAATTGTTTTGTTTTTTTTGAAAACTTTCATACACAGCGATTTTCGGCTCCAGATAAGATCCAGGCTTCGTGCGTTAAAGACGAGGCCGTGATCTACGCACGTAAATCGAAGTGAGCAAGCAAGCTTTGGAGACTTCAACAGATTCACGTCATAAAGATGCTATTTATTCTTTTTATAGAAAAAAACTGACCCCAGATTAAACAGATGTGTAACAAATCGTCATCGAACAGACTCAGAGCTAAATGGAGTATTACTGTTGAAGTACTGAAGCTGTTGCTTTATTGACAGCCTTTGACGAATCCATCTGATAAATTCTATGATAAATTTAAGACGTTTTAACCAGTACTTAAATCTGTTGGCAGTTTTGCACAGCCAACCTACACGCAATCTCGAAAAGCGCTGAGATGGTTGGCAGCCCTGCTCCATTTTGGCTCCTGTCCATATAAGGGAGTAGGGTCATGTTCCAATGGCCGGCCGGGGGGGAGAGGGGGGTACGGACCCCACCCACAGAGTCAGCTGCGATCTAGGCGAATAATAGGTACTAACTCCGACAGAAACGTCTGGTCCTCAAAATAATTTTTAATCTGAAGAGCTGACAAGTAAGGAGTCAGTTTCTTGAAGTACCAGATGTAAGCCAAACATTCCCAAGTGTTCTGCTTTAAATTGTAACAAAATGCGAGATTTTGGTATCACCAGTGAAAAATGATACGATATTCGTTGTAAAGACTGAGGGCTGATGTTTTATGAGCGGGTAATACCGACAATGTCGGCTGTACCCATTATCAGACAATGAAAGAATAACTCAAATTTCAAGATTGGAGGCACTTTTTTTTGTTTTCAAGTGACACATGTCACTGTCAATCTGACGTAAGAAATAGGCCTATTAGGTGTTATACTTCGCAAATACTTTATTCTGTCGTAAAAATGGGTTTTGACTAAAAAATATTGAAGTGTCTATCTGCATACAAATCTTTTGCTTGTGTAAAAGGCCCATTGTCGAGGAAGAATGTTTTTCTTCATATCTTTATATTTGTCTCCCATGATTCCTTTTATCTATCCCCTTTTGTGAATTCTCTTTTCCCTGTTTTCTACCGTATTCTTCCACGTAATTTTTTTATTAATTACGCCGATTACATTTACGTGAATTTCTGAGTAAGTGATAGTTTGTTTTCTTACTACAAGTTGTTTTGGTGAACTGTGTGATCATACTGTCGTGTCTCGGAACATTATGAACGCACACACGGAGTACTATAAGCACAGACAGACATCTGTCGAAACAAAAGTGAAATTGGGTTTGTTGATGTTCAGGCCGACCAATCGAAATACAATTTACAGTAACGTCAAAAAGGGATTTTCAACCCAATTGTTGTTGTAGAAGAAGGAGGCAATGATTCAACAATGAGACCTTCACATTATAAACCACATTGTTGCTGGAGTTATGTTTATATAATAATATTTTAATGGCATAGGGAAATTAGGACGCCGTCAGAATTACAATCGATACCATGATCGATTTCTATATCAAATTCTTCGATTGTTTTAATAATCTGTGAATTAAATGGATATCAGTTTGAAAACTTGTATCAGATATCTTCATGTTTTATGGATGGTCTGTACTTTACACCCCTTCTCTTATCTGCTACGCCAGGGGGTTGCAGGGGGTTGCAGGGGGTTGCATGTGCTGTGTTAGGACCTTGAAATATTGTCCGAGAAAGTGCAGTCATAATTTAGTTTATAGTGGGCAAGTGATGTGAGTGCACGTGTTTCAGGTCGGAAATGCATTGGAAAATATCTGGTAAGAATAGCTCACGAGTGGAAATTTGTTTGCACGTGGAATCAGAAATCCGGAAATCAGTACTTAATTTTGCGTTTATAAAATATTTTATTTGTCCCCAGTGAAGGGTAGTAATTTACTTATATTTTATATGTGGATTCCAAATAAAAATATGCCTACAAATAAATTATTGAGCGTTAGAAATTGGTATTTTTTACCACGAATAAGTTGCGTTAATATTCTCTTCCCCCCCTTTTTAAGTAAAACAGGCGACGAAAGGGGTGGATATGACACTTGACACGCGAGGTTATTATCAAATGCACTTTTTTCTTCGAGTATGAAACCAAATTATGTAAACTCGCTGACCGGACATTGCCCCCCCAAATGTCTCAATTTTTAAATAAAATTCTAGTTTAAAATTCACCTCAAATAGCTATTTGGATTAAATAATATAAAGTGGAAAAATTGTTTAAATGAAATCCACATTTTATGTGAGCTTTGGATGAAAATGGGCGAGCTAAAACCTACGACAGTCGCCTCTTTTAAGGGGCCCCTAAGAGACAATAAGTTTCATTTATCAGTTTAACATGTCTGTTGCAAAGCATTTAATTTTGTGAACACGCGGCACAAAAATTAAATAATCGCCTTAAAATTATTTAATTTACAATTATTAAAAAAAAAAAACCTTTCGTCATTTCTGAAAATCTGATATTCTCACAATCTAATAACAGAATTAGTTTGCGAGACAAATTATGTTCATTGCAGTAAGATTTTTTTATGTTCTCACGGCAACGATTGTGAATATGGCTGTCAGCTGGGATGTTGCACCGTGTATTCTGCTACAAATTTACCGACGTTTCGGAAGTTCTTGCTGCATCCATCATTACCCTAATGACGGAAGCAGCACTGCAACCCAGAAGACAGACATCTAGATATAGCGTATGTTTCTCCCCATTTGACCTCGTTAGGTTCCTGTTCTGTCCTTTCATTACGTGATACTGCCTTTTTATTATTTAGTGTTCTGTCTGACGACAGGTCCATATGAACAGGATCCTTCGATCCTTTTCTCGGACTGGGACCTGTTCATATACGTTCTTGGCAGATGATCCAGAAGTGGTTTGCCATTGCCTTCTTCTGTGTGTGAATGGAGTAATTGTTGGGATGCCACGGAGGAAAACTCCGTGTTGCCTAGACCACGGCCTTGCCCAACACAAGTTATAAATTCGGGCACCGCCGGGAATCGAACCCGAGACCCCCCAGGATTACAAGGCCAGCGTTCTAACCGCTAGATCACCGTGGCGGTCATTATGTGATAATGCCATTTTATTAATTTGATTAAGTTTCTATATATCATCATTATGAACAGCTTACAAGTTTATTTGAAGATTTCTGTCTTCTGGGTTGTTGCGCTGTGTAGTCTGGTTGATGTTAACCAACGTTTCAGAGGTCATACTGCCTCCGTCATCAGGGTGATGAATATTTATTTGCAGACAACATTTTCAATTCACTGTTTTCCTGTTCCTGTGTAGGTGGACATAATGAAACTGTTAGGAGAAATGGCCGATCATCATGGGGCAGTCAGCCAGCCTCTGTCTGGAAGTCGCCGAAACGCAGGATATCAGGGGACCTCATCGAAGGGTAGGAGCACGACAATTTATCTGGGGAACCACAGAACCAGGACTGCGTAGAGAACCATGTCAGTCGCGGATGGAGAAATCTGTAGAACGCGTGTACGTCTACTTCAGAGTATTGCTGCTAATGCCCTAGAATACTCAGAGGTTCCTCGAAAACTTATCGGAAAGTGAAAATCGCGCAAAGACATTAAGATTTTTTTAAATAAAATATTTATTCTACGACGTACTGAGAGTGATTAAAAGCAAATTTCTATTAATACCTAATCCCTGCCCCAAAATGATTACGTCTTGAAATAGCCTCATTATCAGAGACTCCTCGACATTAATATTTTGCAAAAATTAAAATTTTCTATCCCTGCATACATTCTACCTCCATCTATTAAGAGGCTGGAGGATCTTATCTAATATGGTCCAACAAATCCATTTATTGGCTAAAGATTTTCCAGCCTCCGTAGACATGACACATAAGCTACATTATGTGACTGTCGTATAATGGTATATAATTTAAACATTTCAGAATTGAGAATTTTAAGAATAATTGTGACTCGTCTAGTTATCAATTTCAGCTGGTGTTTTCCAAATTTATAACCATTTTTTGTTATAATCAGCTGGTATGGCTCTACAAGTGTCAGGCTGTGGTACGCAATTTGCATCTATGTCAGAAAATGTTGTTACTAATATGTTTCTGTTCCAGGGATTGTAAAGTCTGTTTATTGCAATGTTTTGTTGTTATTGCGGTGGTGGGGTGAGAGGTGGTTGCAAGTCGCGTGACAGTGGTTCTGATCAAGAAACCAGTTGGCATTTTTTCTGTTTTTTTCTAGTAAAATTTTGTACTTTTCATGAAGCTTTTAATTTTAACACAGTTGAAGTTGAGCTGTTACCAGTGAAAAAGCATTACGAATGTTGGGTCCAGGGACTGGGATTAGCCCTTTCTATCCGAACCTATCAATGTTGGTACTTTAACCCGAAGACTGGAGCAAAGCCAATTCCTTAAATGTCTTGTTTATGAATTTTAAACTATTTTAAAATTATCAGATGAACGTCACTGCCTTCCAAGTAAATTTATTTTCGCGTACGATTCAGTGGGTAATATTCTGCCAGCGTATTTTGGTGTCGAGACTATAAATACATTTTTTTTTCCGTCTTTACGACAAATGTTCGATTTAACCATGAGGGTTTACATGAGTGATTCAATTAACTTATAATTTGTCCTTATTTAATTGATGTTTTCTGAAGGGGGCGTTTTGATCGTTGAATGACAAAGCTGTGCGTGCGTCAGTACGTAACGTGGCTTCAGATGGAATCTGTGGTTAGCACAGCGGCTGCTTGTTCTGTGTAAGAAGGAATAATAATAACAAATAAAAGCTCGCTCGCATTGAGCCAAGAGAACATTCTAGTTGTATAAACTCATTTCTATTTTTAGCCATCGTATGGAAAATAACTGGCTACTGGAAATTCGTAAGATGGATTTGATGCATTTAACAGCTGCTGTCTTACAAAAATTCGGGATAATGAGCGAAACTTGTGGAATATTAAATTATGAGACTGATTTATTAACAGACAGTGGAAAAGAGATTTTAATTAATGTGATGTGCTGATGTAAGTTGTAATGTCTTGCCCAATATGAAACGTATCCGAAGAACCAAGCAGGTTAGCTCAGCACAAGCGGTAAATCAGAGACTATTAACCTCGAAACACAAGTTTCGCTTGTTATGTTGGCTGCCTTGAGGATTTTGATATTTTGAATTACGTTAGAATGTGTTGATCATGTGAAGTACGGCGAAAGTTTTTCATCACCAGTCCTCTAGATTTTTAGTTCTCAAATGTTATATAAAACATCGATTAAATCAAAATGTTATAATTATTATTGTAATATTATTAGAATTATTGAATTTAATTATATTACTTTGGTATCGTATTTAGCCCATTTACTTGTGAAATATTATTCAATAAATGAATTGAATTATTATTAATATGGTACATTTATATATTTAATTTCATTTGTTTGTTTTTGTATTTGTAATGTTTTACTTTTATTATTATTGAAATGAATTTAATTATTTATTATATTTTATCCTGTACTCTGGTTTAGTGCTTGGCTGTTATTGGCCTTATTTGGCTGTTGTCGAGCACTTAAATAATTGAATTGAATTGAATATTTCACTGTAATCGTGAAGCAGAAAAGTATTAAAATTAGCGAAGGTAGTTACTGGATGTGGGGTAGACACTCTGGATTTTATTAAGAGTCAGTGGATTCTTTAAACACAGGAAACTTTAATATGCACAATGTACTATAAGTTTGGTCTTGCGAAAAGGACACTTACCTCGTATATAAACGTGGAGTGTTAAAATAACACAGTTCTTATTTAAATGAAGATGAAGTTCTATTCAAACATAGAATATAGTTTATTTGTACAAAACGAAGTTTGTAACTATTCAGCGAACATAAAACAAAATGGCGAATAATTATAATATAAATATTTAGATTTTGCCGCCCTTTCTATTGGACATAAACTCGTATAAACTGAAACGGAACAGCAATAATAATTATTTTTCGCCTACCAGTTTTCTCATCCTGGTACTGCAATGAAGTTACACGCAATCAGAGTATTATTACTTCTGAAAATTTCAATTGAAAACGTCGTACTACCCCTCTGGTTCCCCCTCATTCCTCAGACGCCCGTGGCGCCGCGACGCTCAGACAGTCTTGCGAATACAGACTCATCGTGAGTCTCAGATCAGAGTTCCACCCGTTCACAGCTGCGTCGTCCGGGTCCTACCTACAGCACTCACCAGCCATCGGCACACAGGTAACTTACCGGGACTTAACCTCTGTTTCCCTATTTAAATATTTTAAATACGAAAACGATAACACGTAAGTGTCCATAAAGGAAATGAAATTGTTTTGAATCCGCAAAAAGACAATGTGACTATAGGCCTAATTCGAATTGAGTAATTTGCTTAAATTCTTCCTGCATGCAATGCATTTTGGTTTCTAAGGGACAATCAACGGACTTGTAGCATCGGAGCTGTGAAGGAACGCGGAAAAATAATTATAATTGCAGTGTTAAAATTTTTCGAAGTGATTTTACGTATATAAATCATGAAATAAGGAGTTGATTTAAACATATAAATTGTGCTCGTAATAATAAAAATGTTTCTTAAAGTAAATAAGGTTCCAAAATTAGATAATAATGGAATACGAAGAAGAAACAGCCGAATTTGGGGTGTTTTAATTTTTTAATTTATTTCCGTTTTATGATTCGTAAAATTTTAATTCTTCCTTAAATTCAATGCTTCTAAAGAAAGTTGATAATTACTGTTATGTCTAGTTATTCTAAATACGTTTTAAAATTACAGCTACTTATAAATTTTATATTTAATAAACTCCTGATCCATTGATAACTGGCAAAAAAAAAAGCTAATTTGCTTTTAAATATTTTTGACATTTGTCTCTGCGAGTCCTCGACTTGTAGTGAACACAACTGTGATGTACCGAAACAATCTCCCATTAGATCAGAATTTTCAATGTGACCCAAAATACTTTGTTACAGGAATTCTGAGCCTCGTCTTTTAAAAAACTCATTTTCGTGATTTCTACACGTGTAACTTATAACCCACGATAAAATCTGTCTACGAAAAGTCAAACGGAAAATTTGTATAAATAAATCTAATTATGCAATTAGATATAGGTTACTTAAATATTACTGATACCGACAATTGAAATATGTTGATGTGTGTTTGAACTACAAAGTCACTACTTACGTCAAAGTGGGGAAAGTAACCTTAAAACAAAAAACTTTTTACGATTTTGCAATTTCTGAGTAAAACTGCGATAGTTCATGAATATATTCTCACTGTCGTGAGGAATTAGGTCACTGGTAGTCAATGCACGAGAGTTACTTATTTTTGAGCTTGGGATCTTTGCGATTGGAGTTTAAAATTTGGATACGATCCGTCTAAAGGTGGATTTCGGACGTTTCGGCAAACATTGAATTTGTCCGATGTGTAATTCTTCAGGAGATATATATAGAATTATTAACGAGAAATAAATAAAGGTGCCGATGCTCAGGCACATGCATTAGGAAATAAATTAGTTAATTTATTATTTAAAATAATAATTTTCTCCCAGAACTTTTATTTCTGAATACAAACCGAGAACGTCTGATGGTTTATTCGAGTGGTTGCGGACATTAAAACTTCTAAGGAGAAATGTAAGCACAAGATTAAATGTCAGATCACTGAAGATTTACATTCGGGGTTGTGACAATTCATCCATACAGATATATTTTCTGCTGATGGTTGCACAATGAAAAATCATTATACTTTTCTAACTTTATTTCCGACTAGTTTGTGTCATACTTTTTAATTAAAAATTTTAATGATTAATTTAAAAAAATAATTAGCGGGATATATAATAACTATTTGTCATTTAATGTCAGTGTGGGATACGTCTGTATATAAATGTGGCCTGAAGTTTGTGTCCGCCTTCTAGGTAGAAATGACTTTGTCAAAATTTCCGTGCCTGATAAATGATAATTTTTTTTAATATTATTACCGAGCATTAATGATTGCGTAAAAACTAGGACAGATTGACCGAGGCTTTCAGAAGTTAAATATGACTGTAGTAGAGCAGGGCCCGAACCTGTCCCAATTTTCGCTGTAACACAATCAGGAGGGCTGTGTATGGGAGCAGACAGCAGGGCAGAGACTATAATTAGAAGGTGAGGGTCTCTTTCGAGGCTATTTCTGGCCATCACTCACGTCACGAATGGCCTCTACTAACATCCGAGAACGCAATCGGTACAGTCCCTCCAAAACATAAAATAAAAGGTTGTTCATTTTGAGGCTACCCTAAATAAGGGATCAGATGCGATGTCATTCTCATAACTGATGAGATTTCTTTTGGATTTGATGAAAAATACTTTTTGACAGATGTCTGGTTATGCGAGAAATATTGTCACACTATACTTTGACGTAGATCACGGCTGAGTAATTTGCTTAAATTCTTCCTGCATGCAATGCATTTTGGTTTCTAAGGGACAATCAACGGACTTGTAGCATCGGAGCTGTGAAGGAACGCGGAAAAATAATTATAATTGCAGTGTTAAAATTTTTCGAAGTGATTTTACGTATATAAATCATGAAATAAGGAGTTGATTTAAACATATAAATTGTGCTCGTAATAATAAAAATGTTTCTTAAAGTAAATAAGGTTCCAAAATTAGATAATAATGGAATACGAAGAAGAAACAGCCGAATTTGGGGTGTTTTAATTTTTTAATTTATTTCCGTTTTATGATTCGTAAAATTTTAATTCTTCCTTAAATTCAATGCTTCTAAAGAAAGTTGATAATTACTGTTATGTCTAGTTATTCTAAATACGTTTTAAAATTACAGCTACTTATAAATTTTATATTTAATAAACTCCTGATCCATTGATAACTGGCAAAAAAAAAAGCTAATTTGCTTTTAAATATTTTTGACATTTGTCTCTGCGAGTCCTCGACTTGTAGTGAACACAACTGTGATGTACCGAAACAATCTCCCATTAGATCAGAATTTTCAATGTGACCCAAAATACTTTGTTACAGGAATTCTGAGCCTCGTCTTTTAAAAAACTCATTTTCGTGATTTCTACACGTGTAACTTATAACCCACGATAAAATCTGTCTACGAAAAGTCAAACGGAAAATTTGTATAAATAAATCTAATTATGCAATTAGATATAGGTTACTTAAATATTACTGATACCGACAATTGAAATATGTTGATGTGTGTTTGAACTACAAAGTCACTACTTACGTCAAAGTGGGGAAAGTAACCTTAAAACAAAAAACTTTTTACGATTTTGCAATTTCTGAGTAAAACTGCGATAGTTCATGAATATATTCTCACTGTCGTGAGGAATTAGGTCACTGGTAGTCAATGCACGAGAGTTACTTATTTTTGAGCTTGGGATCTTTGCGATTGGAGTTTAAAATTTGGATACGATCCGTCTAAAGGTGGATTTCGGACGTTTCGGCAAACATTGAATTTGTCCGATGTGTAATTCTTCAGGAGATATATATAGAATTATTAACGAGAAATAAATAAAGGTGCCGATGCTCAGGCACATGCATTAGGAAATAAATTAGTTAATTTATTATTTAAAATAATAATTTTCTCCCAGAACTTTTATTTCTGAATACAAACCGAGAACGTCTGATGGTTTATTCGAGTGGTTGCGGACATTAAAACTTCTAAGGAGAAATGTAAGCACAAGATTAAATGTCAGATCACTGAAGATTTACATTCGGGGTTGTGACAATTCATCCATACAGATATATTTTCTGCTGATGGTTGCACAATGAAAAATCATTATACTTTTCTAACTTTATTTCCGACTAGTTTGTGTCATACTTTTTAATTAAAAATTTTAATGATTAATTTAAAAAAATAATTAGCGGGATATATAATAACTATTTGTCATTTAATGTCAGTGTGGGATACGTCTGTATATAAATGTGGCCTGAAGTTTGTGTCCGCCTTCTAGGTAGAAATGACTTTGTCAAAATTTCCGTGCCTGATAAATGATAATTTTTTTTAATATTATTACCGAGCATTAATGATTGCGTAAAAACTAGGACAGATTGACCGAGGCTTTCAAAAGTTAAATATGACTGTAGTAGAGCAGGGCCCGAACCTGTCCCAATTTTCGCTGTAACACAATCAGGAGGGCTGTGTATGGGAGCAGACAGCAGGGCAGAGACTATAATTAGAAGGTGAGGGTCTCTTTCGAGGCTATTTCTGCCCATCACTCACGTCACGAATGGCCTCTACTAACATCCGAGAACGCAATCGGTACAGTCCCTCCAAAACATAAAATAAAAGGTTGTTCATTTTGAGGCTACCCTAAATAAGGGATCAGATGCGATGTCATTCTCATAACTGATGAGATTTCTTTTGGATTTGATGAAAAATACTTTTTGACAGATGTCTGGTTATGCGAGAAATATTGTCACACTATACTTTGACGTAGATCACGGCTGGATACATATATATATATATATATATATATGCACACACACATACAACCCTCGATTTGCGTAATATAACAAAATTAAGTTTCGTCACAATTTTTTTATTAGTCTAATTGTATTTTGCTTTCAGTTCGTTTTAAACTTGGTATATACTATTTCCACGGAGGTCTACTCGGGTGTCATGTTTGGGTACAAACGTTTCGGATGAAAATAATGCTTCCACTATCAGGGCTGAAATCTAATTCCTTTCGCTTTTGGATAAAGTAACATTTTACTGCAAACATTAAGTGTATATTTGCGCTTGTTAGTGTTACCCTGATCCTTGATTTATGTGATTCATGGGATAATGAAATAAAAACATTTGAAGAGTGCGGTAGGAACTACTTTTTAAACGGGGGGTGGAGGGTGGAGGGAGGAACAAATTTTGATTTGCAGCTACGAAGGTAAACAGGCTGAGTACAGATAGGTTTAATGAAGGTAAATCATTTGGAAGTGGAGTAGGGGAGAATGTGAATATGATATTACTCCGTTAGTGCACGATTTAGAATCCCGATATTAGCCTAAGAAGGGCGACTATTAGTAAGTGCTTTAGGGCGGAATTATTTTATAGGCACTGGCAGGCTTGAATTAGAAGCACGCAGTTGAAACCGAAGCTCGTCTAAATGATATTTAAGAATTCAGTCCGTACCTAAAAGAAAACACCCAACTTCACCATTACAGAGATAGGTTAAAACTTTTCAAGCAAATAACAGCTGAGAATCGTACGAAATCCACAAATACACTCGGGATTGTTAGAACAAGTGGTACATATAGTTACCGATGGCTATTTAAAGGTTAGTTAGGAAGGTGTTTCTTTATATTTCATTATTCTCTATCGTATTTTTAGTTAACGGTTTCTACGTCGATTCAACTCGTTCATTTAGGACGACCTCTTAAATGAAAGACCATTTTGTCTGTACTTAAAGAAGACGGCATTACAAGATAACTGGCACAATTCCATGCCCTGAACGGAATTCGAAACTGCGATCCCAAGTGGTCAAAGACTGCGATCTCCGCTGCGGCTAAAAGTCACCAGTGAATCTCCTTTGTGATTGTCCCGACTATGACTTTACACTTTACTTCTACCAAAACTCTTGGTGTCGTATGGAATTGTGCCAACGTTCATACGTACAAAACCTTTAGTGCATACAAAATACAAAAAGAATTCGTTCCGTGAGTGCGATGCCACTCCCAAACTTCAATTGGCCTCATCACACACTCATTAACTCACTTCAATTTGCCTCTCACTCACAAACCTCACCCCCACTCATTAACCTCACTTCAATGTTCCTCTCACTCACAAACCTCACCCCTAATCATTAACTTCACTTCAATGTTTCTCTCACTCACAAACCTCACCCCACTCATTAATATCACTTCAATTTGCCTCTCACTCACAAACCTCACATCCACTCATTAATATCACTTCAATTTGCCTCTCACTCACAAACCTCACATCCACTCATTAATCACACTTCAATTTGCCTCTCACTCACAAACCTCACATCCACTCATTAATCACACTTCAATTTGCCTCTCACTCACAAACCTCACCCCCACTCATTAACCTCACTTCAATGTTCCTCTCACTCACAAACCTCACCCCCAATCATTAACTTCACTTCAATTTTCCTCTCACTCACAAACCTCACCCCCACTCATTAACCTCACTTCAATTTGCCTCTCACTCACAAACCTCACCTCATTTTGTATGCGTTCCTTATCTCTGCTATGAGTTTTGCATCAGTCTATAGTTTTATCGGAGTCGTATTAACTAATCTTCGTTTGGCAATGGATGGGGCGAGTGCCGCAAATTTCTGACACGTCTTAGGCAAGTCACAAGTATTCCGAACCTCGACTCGTCGTGCAACTGCATTTTCAGAGCACATTGTCTTCTCGTGATAGGAGAAAGAGTTCTAGCAGACGACCATTTGCTGTTCTCCATTTCTCATCCACTGTCCTGTAATCTGAGTCATGCTCTAGAGGCGCATATCAAGTCTTAAACGCGTGTCGTAGCACAAAAATAATTCCACGAAGGATGAAAAGTATCCAAATAATAATGAAAAAATACAGCTCCTACCTCAAAGAAAACGCAACAGTTCTTCATTACAAAGGTCAGTGGTTAATGCTCTTTTTTTCTTCTGAGAATCATAACAAAGCACATAATCATATTATTTGCGGACCGAATTCTTAAACATTAATTGGACGAGATTCTGCTTCAAATGGTCTTGACGTTGTCAAATTAAATTCATCAAAGTTCTAAACATTTTAATGGGTTATGAAGATGATTTGTAAACTTTTTGTTGCAGTACAAATTCGAACGAGAGTTTTCCACCGTCAATTTTCATGATGCTGAAGAACCATTTGGATATCATAGGCAGGAATGAGCCGATACAGAGAAAAGCGAGGTTCTGGCAGTCTTACGTGAGGGCTCTAAAAGGTTAGTAAATGAACAAGTTTATGAAGTCAGTGACTATTAAACCAGGCTCAGCAACACAGGAGCTGGTGCGAGGTTTCTGATTCCAAAAATGTTCCGCTGACAGACGTTAACACCTAGCATAATCGAGCATAAGTGACGTATCTTAAGAGGGGATTTATTCCTAAACCATGTGGGCGTAAAACTGATGTGGATTTTCCTGTTGTAGGCACGGACGATATGCGAGCTCATGATCGCGTCTCGTCCCGTCCACGTGGCGTCTTCCGACCGCTATTGTCCGACTTCCCCGAGCTGTCGAGCGGGTGGCCTTACAGCAAGTCCATTTACGACGAACCAATCCACGCCGTAGACCGCATCTCCGTACCGGGCTACCGCTACCTGCCCGTATCTCGCGAGACCTACGGCTACTCACCGCGCAACCTCTACCCGGCGCCCTACGGGGGGGTCAGGGGGGCGTCGAGAAACATCCAGAAACATTGCAATGCAGGGATTGGGGTGGGACATAGATTCTTCGGGTGCTGTGCGACCAACTCTCGTCTCCATAGAGATCGGGAGTCCTGCTTCGTTTTGAAACAGTTGAAAGTGGTTTGAAGTAGTTTACTTAATTATATCGTTTCTTTTTTGTTCATGCTTTTGCTTCTAATCTTAGTGGAAATTTTTGTACAATTCTTAATCAGCCATTTTCACACTTCAAAACTTAAGCATACTTAATTAAGGGTCTTGGAAAAATAAAATACCTCGTACGTTAATTTGAACCTTGACTAGACCGAGCCAATCTAAATATTCCGCCGTCCTGTGTACGAGCATAAATACATTCACGACCCAATAACAGACAACAAACATCTAGAGAGAATATTCTATATAACATAATATAAACATAATATATTATGTGAATATAAATACACAAACCAACATATGTTACAATGTTAACTATTACTTTTTGTAAACATTCTATCTATCTCCACTTGTATATTTTAAAACTAGTAGCTGAGTGTTTTATTATCAAATTATGTTTATTGGTTTATGTATATATATATATAAATATCTAAGACAGAAACCGTTTTGAAAGTTCATGTACTTAGGTCACTGCATTTTTAACGCCAATAAAATGTTTTTGACCACAACGACGGAATGTGGAGTCACCGATTCTCTGTCAAAAGCTTGAAGATTTTTCTTGAGGCGGATTACCGAAAGTCGCTTTCGTGAGTAGCTGATGCTGATTTTTTTTTTAATTTCTTAATTTTTTCCAGCTTCCAGCACTTGACAGAGAATGGTTTTTTATTTTTCAGTTTTTAACGTAAATTTTCAAACTTGCATTAATGCACCCTTCAAACAAACACTTCTTCCATTTTACATGGTCAAGCTTCAATTTCATTGGAACTGACGATAATCCCACTAAAGCATGGCATAATAACCAATCAAACTCTAATACAGACACCCCCTCACTCAAAAGAGAGCTTAAGCTACAAACACATTACAGCCTAAATACTGAAAAAGATGGCATTTAAACCATTAATATTTTAAATTATGTAAAACGAAATTTTGACCATGTAAATAGGCCTTTCCTAGCGTATTTTAAAGCCCTGCATATTCACAGCATAAGTTGTCTTGCTTAATGTTTTTAACGTCTAATTAAGGTTATTTAGGTTGAAATTTATTTATTACTCGCTTTATGCTTATTGATTAATTAATATGCAAGCTATGGAATGGCAGGTTGACGTGTTTGGTGTCCTTCCAGATCCCATCCCAGTAATGAATATTTCCCTCGCTAAACTTCTAGAAATAACACTCGGCTCAATGAGAAGGTGAGCTGAAACTCGTTTCGTTTCAGGCCAGTCTTATACATTGCAGAAACACACATGACAGGAAGCCCGACAAATCGGCAAAAGATGTTCATATTATTATTGTCTGACATTTTTGTACGAACGAGATTTTTAATATTATCCCCGCCCACCTGCTATAAACGCCGACTGCCAGAAATGGCATTTGGTACAAGAAGAGGACATACTTCAATTTTAAACTTTAATCGTCATTTTCATAGAATATGAAATTGAACACAGTTCTTTACTGAAGATCACTAAGAAGATATTTGAGAAGATATTGTAATGGCAGGTGGTAAGAGCTTATTCTTAACAGATACTCTCCCCCTTTCCTCTGTAAACAAGTTTGGATGTGGGCAACTCTGTTTGTGCATGCGAGCATGCATCCTCCTTCTTTATCGAGCATGATTTAGATTGAAGCCTGTTTCAGAGACCATTTAACATAACCTAAAAAAATAAAAAGATTTGTGACGGTACATCTAAAAGTTTTTGAGCGTTATCCTGTGGTTTCATTTATTATTTTGTGATCATCCAATGACTTCGTGTTTGGACTCATTACGTGCCCTGCAAGTACTCAAAAATATTAGATTGTTGAATGATGTGTGATTTATTTGTATTTGTAGACAATGTTTGACGTAAAATGTAACAGTTCGGACCTCCGACTGCCTGCAATTAGAAAGAGAGCGTACGAAACTTACATTTCTTTGTTTTACTGAGGCTGTAGAAATGAGTCCTGTGATTTGTGTAAAGGACGATGCTCCAGGATTGGTCCTTTAACCCAATGGTCTAATTAGCCATCCAAAAGCCCACGTCGCTAGCTTATATAATTAGTGTTAATCGTTTGAAGCCGAATCGCTTCTAAGTATATAAGAATTAAGTCCTTACTGCAAAGAAAACACAACACGTTACCAGTACAGGAACCAGTTTTTTAAAGCTATTTGGAAAATATTTCTTGTTTACAGTGAAAATTATATGAATTCTATAAATACAAAATGAAGCAAATGACACATATTTACAGATCGTTTGAAGGTGATGGGGGCAGGGTAGATCCTAGGGACTTCTTACCACAGCCTCAGAGGGTTAGAGCATTATAAAGATTTGTAAGTTATATAACGGGAATAAGGCCTTTCAGAAAATTAAGTGACTTTATGAACAGCCATCACGACAAGAAACCTCTGTTGCAGTTTTGGGGGTCCGATTTTGAAACGTTAGTTATATCAGATATTAAACCCACCCTGTATGTTGCGCCATATTTTGCACTGTAGACTCTAGAAGTTCCTGGTATTGGGGCGGTCAGACATTCTGCTTGAATTCGGTGTGTCGGTCCATCAAACGTTTAAAAATGACCCTGCATCCAAGTCTTTGGAATGTGGGGATTTTTTTTGAGATAAGTACCCTTAATCTGCCTTGACTGGATTAAGATCATTAATCGTGTTTCTTGATATCATGAAATGAAGATTTTCGATATGCCCTTACAGTCAAATTGATGGCGTTCACATTTGAAGTGATAACACTATCTCAGGGGATACTGTGCACATGATTTCCCAGAGGTTAAGCCGTTCTACATCCGAAGCATCTGTTTTGTGCTCGGAAGGCCATGGTTTCGATCGGGGAAACCCGTAGCGTGACTATTTTTCTCATTTACTATATTATTCAAATGTTGCCACAGGGAGTAAAGAAAGCCAAGGAAGCATTACCTTTCTTTCTTTCTTTCTTT